AGTTCTAATCTCATATACGATGCCAGCGAAATCGGAAAAGTCCTCTTTGAATTTCAGCATAACCCACCGATGAACACGATGAAAATTGAGCTGATTCGTGTTGAAAATGGGGTCGAAAAAAGTCTAGCTACTTATCACAGCATGATGCATCGGGAATGTGCCGAATTTTCCAACTGCATTATTAAGCGGGAAATGAATCTTCATGTAGACACGGGCAAAAATAGATACACACTCGAGCAAGACCTAAAATTTATCAACCAGGCTAAAGTAAAGCAATATGAAGTAAAGTTGATGTTCAAGGACAAAACGAATAACTATAAGTATGGCCTCAAGGCGGAAGCAAGCATCAAGGCTGATAAGAAGCTGGAAGTGGAAGCCGGTTTGTATCTGGGCCACTATGGCTACTCACCGAAATTTGAGTACCAGGTAGGCTGGCAGAAAGGCGACGACCTAAGCATAAAGGGAGAGGCAAAATGTAAAATTGATGATCTTATTCTATTCACCTTTACGCATACAGACAGAATTGTAGGCTATTCCAGTTTCCAGCACTCACAGAACCTTATCTTTAAGGACACAACAAACAGCCAAAATAACTTTGTTGCCAAGAACAGCTTCACAATTGAAATAGTAAACAGGAAGGGTACCCTAAAGGGCTCTGGGAATCTGTCATTTCAGGAGAAGAACGAAGACTTTGTTTATCAGCTTGACGGCGAGATGGAGAACAACCGAATTACATTTGGCTGGAACGTTGACACTGACCTACTTGTGAGCCTATTCAAGTTGCGTAGGCACAATATTTTCGTTGAGGTTGCTTACGATTATGCCAATCAGATAGAGCTGCATTTCAAGGAAATAACTTCTTGGCTCGCTGAAGGCGCTCGCGGAGTTAGCGGCCAAGAGGCTAGTCTCGACTTCAACTTGGCAAAGACATTTCGGTCAATGAACACAGAAGTTCGCCATGGACCCTTAGGAATGCCGGGGATCGACCATTTCCGAGTAGGCTACAATCTGGATACAACCGATCACATAAAAGCCGAAATAATTACAGTGATTTCTGGAAAAGTACTGCTCGAAGTCGAAGTATCAGGGAACATGTCAAGGAAAATCAATGAATATCAAATGGCTGGTCAATTATCCTGCAACTTACCAACCGTGCCATTTAGTATGAATTGGCAACGCCAATTCCTGGCCAATCGAGATGGTTTGAAGTACAATGATGAAAGTAGCCTCTTCATCCTTAATGGCGTTCGTGGGGAAGTTGAGCCAATGGTAGATTACTCGAGTAAGACTTTTTGGCACTTTGATCGTAT